TCCTCAAATTCCATCTCGTCCAGGATGAGGCAAGAGGGAGTGTTAGACTCTTACTGATTAAAAAAACCCCGTCTGTTCTCCTGTTCTAGGCCGCGGTCGCGGTAGTAGGATCCTAGACCAATTAATCGAGGTTTCGTTTCCCTGATTGCGTGGGATTGCAGTCTTTTATGGTTGAATGCACTGTTAATACTGGCTTTTTTCTTGTCTTAGTTTTGGGGGAGTGGTGAGTATTACCCTTTTTTGTGAGAGGAAAATCATCAAATGACTTCTCTCGCCCAGGGTGGGGCGGGAGGGAGTGTCAGATTCTTGCTGACTAATTGCTGGCGTCCGTTCGTTCTCCTGCTCTGGGCCGAGGTCACGATGACTCATAGCGCTTACCCCCCAACCCCGGTTGAACATCAGCCCTATAGGGCCCCGTCTGTGGTGATCTATTGGCCCTTTGAGGCACGGAACCGAAGAAGAATGAACAGTGTGACAATAGTGGAATGAACAATAGCCTGAAAGTCGCTCTCTCCTCAAAAAAACCTCTCAGAGATATTTTGAAAAAATTCGATATTAGGTACTCGTACCGGGCTTATATGGAAAAAAAACAGTCATCAAAAGCTATGTTTAAGGTATAGTGCCATTATTTAAATGTCGAGTACAGCATAATAATAATCTGAACATACACAAAATATAAAATTATAAATAAAAATAAATTTGTTTAGGTACAGACGAATACCTAAACGGACAGGTAACTAAACATTCATGTTACATAATGTTTAAAAATAAAATAAACCTTAATTATTACGTGCTAAGTTCGTTTTTTCACTTCACACGGAACTTTGGTTCTTTTGGATATGCTTATGTACTAGTTTTTGTTAAATATACTAAATCTGTTAGTGTTTATAATTCATAGGTAGGTAAACACAATCTAGAACTATTCACGAATTAATCTCAGAAAAAAAAGGGACTTTGACAAAAAAACTAAAAAAACTACTGAGTTTTTATTTTACTTAGGTCATTCATTTTAATCTTTAATACCTATGTATAGTATTATGCAATAATTGCTACCAAATAGGATATAAGTAATTGGTTACTAGCCTCAGTAAAAAAGATAATATTTTAAATCCAAGCAAACTATCCAAACCAATATTATAAATGCGAATGTCTGTCTGTCTTTTCTTCACGCCTAAACTACTGAACCTATTTGTGTAAAATTTGGTATAGACATAGTTTGGAAATCGAGAAAGGTCATAGAATAGCTTTTAAAACAAAAAACTGCAGTAAGTCACTATTCCACGCGAACAACTCGCGAACCAAAGCTATATAGTTCTTCATAAAACCATACAAAATATTAAAAAACAATCACACTGTAATTAATACATTTTACGATAATATACTCAATATTCGTATTTTATTAATTATAATTCAGAAGAAATAAGTACGATATTTATTGTTAAAGAATCACAACGGCATAAGCTGTTTAATATAAAATTCGTAGAAAAATATCATTTTTATCAATTGAGTATTCAATTTAACTATGGTCTAGGTATAGGTGGTTACCTAAAGTTAAAAACTATAAAAAATCTTCAATTTAAGAGTTAAATAATAATATTGATCTTGTATTAAATGCTTATTGATAATTTAAGTACTAGATTAGACTCAGTAAAAGATTAGAATCAGACACTTTTCACAGAACAAGACTAGAAAAATCTCTTTACATTGTGCAGAGTAAAACTTTGCCCCACACTAGGCTTTTCAACTGTTTCGTGGGTCCATTTACAAACAAAACATTTCATCTGAAGGCACCGGGGGGTTGGTAACATCAACATCCCGATCATCGTCTTCACAGTCCATCGCAAGGCGTAGGATTTTATAATCAGGCCGAATAAATTACAAAAATAACGGACGTCGGCGATCCGTCTCAGATGACAGTCACAGCGCTCGCTCTCCATCATCATGCGCACGCAGAACTGTCTGTTCGACGTTCCGCCAGAGTACGAGTACGTACGATTGTACCCTCGTCCGATAAATTGTGATAAAACCTCCTTCAAAATTCAATTTAAATGATCGACGCGCCGTAACATCGTTTTCATTTGTTTATTTTCTTTTCAACGTGCACTTTGAAAGACGATTTAAGATACCTTAAAAATTTAACATTAATGGACCAAAATACCCTAAATTTGTTACCAAGAAACAATTGAATTTCAATAAATATTGTCCGTTTCGACCCTAATGCCATCTATTGAGTTATGAGGTAGTTTTCTTAACCTTTTTTTCTGCAAAGGCATTGGAATCGATTGCTGTCGTGACAATGATTTTTACATTGAATTTTTTTTTATGTAATAGTTCGGCAAACGAGCTGACGGATTACCTGATGGTAAGCAATCAGCGCCGCCCATGGACACCCGCAACGGAGGAGTCACGAGTGCGTTGCCGATCTTTTATGGATAAGGGATTTGGAGACTCAGGGATTGAGGAAGGGAATTGGGGGAGGAGGAGGATTGGGCCTCCGGTAACCTCACTCGCACGGCGAAACACAACGCTGTGGTTGTTTTACGCCGGTCGAGCCGACCTATTCGTGCCGAAGCATGGCTCTCCCACACTTATTATTAAGAAAAACACAAACTCAAGGACTCTCTCAACTTCAAGGAGTGCCACTAAACTTAGAAATACATAAAACAACTGCATTTTGCAATGTTTTGTCAATTTGTGTAACGTGTAATCTAAAACAAGCATAAATAACACGTATGTACTTAGAATAGAGTTCAATGTCGCGGTTGCGCAACACGAACAGCTGATATTCGTGTATGCGGCCATATTTTTTTTAAAACGACTTATCTTGAACCTTATTTTAGTCAAAGGCTGATTTGCTAATATTTATTAGGAATGTAAATATCACGATCAAAGAGGTCCGGATTTTACCTATTTAAACTGTATACTAGGATTTTGTGATCCGATTCCTAGAAAAAATAAAATATTTTTTATAACCGACAGACATAATAAAATTATTTGTATTCTTCTATTTTAAAGTAAAAAGATACTTTTGGTAATTCAAATACTCGCCATCTTTTTCAATTATACTAAATTAGAATAGGAATGTTGACGAATATGGTTTTTATGTTAGTCGTATTTATGTCAGATTAAATAAAAAAACATTTTTGTAATCAAATATTTGGAACCAGATGGGATTATTGTTATCATAATTAAATTATAATTGAATTAAATTATTTACTTATACATTTCATACTAAATGGTGACGTTGTGAACTCGCACTTTTAAGTTTCAATTCGTTTTATCTGAGTATTGTTTTCTATGAGACATAAAATATTTTTTAGTAATAATATATATGTTTTTCATTATATATCAGACGGAACTGACTGAATTAAATCCCTTTTCTTAAAGAATTGGTAGAAAAATCTTAGTATATAATTAGGTTCATATGCCTATTATTAAACGATTAATGGTCACATAATTTTGGCAAGTATGTGTGTATGTATAAGTACAGCGGGAAACACGGAATAGAAAATACTTTATTTAATTTTCTGTTCTGTGAGCGGGAAATAACAGCTGTGATGTTATGTTATATCTTTATAAATAAAAAAATCGTGTCACGTGTTTGTCCGCGATGGACTCCTAAACTACTAAACCGATTTTAAATTTGATTTGCATTCCATGTACATTTTGATCTAAGTTGAATATAGATAAGATAGCTTACATCTCAATTTATAGTCGCACTATTATTTACCTTAGCCGCAGCAACGTGTGGCTGGGTCTGATAGTGTATATGTATATAAATATTATCTTCAACCTAACACTTAAAAGAAATCACACAGTACTTCCATTAGTCAGAACAAACAAACTCATTTATTTACATGTAACAGGATTATTATGCGATAGCCTAGATTTTGACCACGACGATTAAGATGATTAAAATTAATTTATCAGAAAGCTTGAAGTATTTTATGTTTTGTTTGATCAATCAGTGCTTTTATCCATTCTACATTTACTGCCTTTCCTAGCATACCTTCTTAATGTAAACTGATTCTCTTGGCTAGAGTTGCAAATTAAGCGTAATAAACAGTTAGCGCGGGTCCAGTTGGAAGAAGTTGCAACGGGGTGGTTTTTAGTCAATAAGAGTCTAATTAACGATGAATTAAAGTCTTTTAAAGTCCAAGTAGTCTGGCATTCCCTTTCGCCTCACCCAGGTCGGGAAGAGTTACTTAAAGCCTGACACACGCACTTACACTTACAAAAGCATAGATAATCTCAATCAACAACAACAACATCAACAGCCCATAAGTGCCCACTGCTAAGCAAAGGCCTCTTCTCACACGGAGAAGGTTTGACCATTAATCAGCACGCTTGCTCAAGGTGGATTGGCGATTTCAAACTTATAATTAGTAATTATAAGTCCAGGTCTCCTCGCGATGTTTCCCTTCACCGTATGTCAGTGGTGGCTAAATAATCATAGAAAGTACATAAACTCGGAAAAAGTGTGGGAGAGCCATGCTTCGGCACGAATGGGTCGGCTCGACCAGAGTGATACCACGGCCTCACAGAAAACCGGCGTGAAATAACCACAGCGTTGTGTTTCGCCGTGTGAGTGAGGTTACCGGAGGCCCAATCCTTCCCCTTCCCCAATCCCTCCTCAATCCCTGGATCTCCAAATCCCTGATCCCTAAAAGGTCGGCAACGCACTCTTAACTCCTCTGTTGCGAGTGTCCATGGGCGGCGCTGATTGCTTACCATCAGGTAATCCGTCTGCTCGTTTGCCGACGCATTAAATAAAATAATAAAAAAAAAAGTCATATGGTACTTGCCAGGTCGCACCCTCATGCATGAGAAGCGGGCACCTCAAACTCCAATCTTAATTAAACCGCGTAATATTTGTGAATTCTACTTGGCAATGCACATGCGGTTATTAAGAATTTTGAAGTTTTTCAAATTATTCGAAATTTTAATGGCATAATTATGTCCAAATTAATCAAACGTAATATTTTCCGTCTTTACAGAATAACAAAATGGCTTCCGCGTCAGTGATGTTGGTGCAGCCCAAAGGGGAACTTTGGGAGAAGATCAGAGTGGAACTGAACGAGAATGTAAACACAAGAGACCAGGACCTGGCCACCATTAAAGATTGGCTGAAGAAGCAACCACATCTCCCTGATGAATGGGGTAAGTTTCGGTAATTTTAAAAGTGAACGATGAAATAAGAGTATATTATGTATTAAAAATTAAAACTGATGACAATAAAAATAATGTTTTGTACTGGCGTCTATCTGCCAACATAATCATTGTTGACCAATCAGATTTATCCGGAACCTTACCATAAAGTCGACTGGAGCAGATCCAGTTGGTAGAAACGATTTAAAGACATAGATATTTTCTATAATATCCATTGGAAGTGTCTCAGTTTATAATGGTTTCTTCTTGCCACTCTTCAGATGACCGCTGTTTGATGAGCTTCCTCCGAGGATGCAATTTCTCCCTGGAGAAGTGCAAGAATAAACTGGATATGTACTTCACAATGAGGAGTGCCTGTCCAGAATTCTTCGCCAACAGAGATATCACGAGACCAGAGCTTCACGACCTTATGAAGAGGGCGTAAGTGTCAATATGACTGTACAAAATTTTCGTAATACCTTCCTTTACTTTATCTTTTGAAATTAAAGTTAATCTCAGATTACTCTTCGACGCAATAAGCACATTGGTGGTTTTGTTTACACGAGTAAATTATTGCAATACAATCAATAAGGTTCGTGTTTTCTTGGGTTTCAGACAAGGACCTACTATGCCAGGACTGACCCCATCCGGCAGACGAGTCACAATTTGCAGAGGTAATTATTCAATACTCCTGTAGAAATTGATAATCTAGTATTTTTAAAATATTCTTGAAATGATGAGACTATATTACTCCTTTAAAAAAAGTTCAAAATATTACGTTGGACCCATTTTGGCTCCCTTAGCGACACTTTTAACAAAGAATTTTACAAAACGAACATGCTCAGACGTGGGTTTTTGATTAGGATATCATCAAAATAACTCCTCCCGTTGTAGCTGAAGCGAAAGGGAGAGTAAACCCGACCATTATGTTGTAATCATATATATTATAATAATATTTTATATTTGTATTACATGCACCAGAAAAAATATTTTTTAGCTACTTCACACAACTTATATAAATCCTTTAGGTGCTAATTGTTGTATTGTTTATTGGTTATGATTAAAGACTTTGTCAATTAAGTTCTTTTAAGAAGGTACATAAGCACTATTTTATTTATTTACAATAAGCCTTAGGCATTGTCATCCAGGTGATGCAGAGATAAAAGTGGCTGGTGACTTTATTAAAGTACTTAAAAATGATAAACTTGATACTGTAAAACATATTTTAACCAACCTTAATTTGTATTTTGTTATATTTATTTAGAAAAGTCTTAGAAACAAACAGGAACAAAAGAATACATCTATAATATTTTCCTCTGTAAATTTCCACCATTATACCTGTAAATTTCCTTAACGTAAAGAATGTTGCTTGGCTTAATTAATTACCCGCGAAGGTTTCACCTAGTAAACTTGGCCAACGATTGCAATATGATTCACTAGTTTTTTTTTATAATTTCCCGCTGATTCTTTGCGGGAAATCCTGTTAGCAAAGAAACAATACGATTGATTGCAATAAAATTTATATCTATACATGTTCGGTGCAAAATGTATATAGTTTTTACTTAAATATTCCTCGATTTATATCGATTAAAAAATGTGCAGATTACCGAATATAATATCGAGTAGATATTCTATGACCAACCATAGAATTTGCCAAAAAACTATAACGATTAAAAAATACAAACGAAACTAGGCTAAAGTTTTTGTAAAATTTAAGAAATAAAACATTGAAATCGAAACCGTACTACATAATAATTAAGACATCATTTCTATTTTCCAGCCCTGGACAAAAGGATGGATCCACAGAACTTGAACGATGCGTTCAAAATCGCCATGATGATCGGTGACGTCAGACTGATGGAAGAAATCGAAGGTGTGGCTGGAGATATTTACATTCTAGATGCTTCTGTGGTCAGCCCAAGTCATTTAGGAAAATTATCCCCGTCAGCGTTGAAGAAATTCTTCATTTGTGTCCAGGTAATATTTATTTATTATCTTTAAAGACTTTATGCAAAAGCGTACATAAGGCCTAAATAAGAAACCTCCACCTTCCTTGAAATGGTTTAATTTTAAAATTATAAATAATTGTGGATCTTGGCCAAATGGTATCAATCAATATCGAATAGGCTTGAAAACGAATTTTAAGCTGTAAGAAATATTAAATCATGTCATCTCATTCTTAACACAAGATAAAATATTAATGAACTTGTCAATAAGCAGGGTTTATTTATCAAATTGCAGTATTTATATCATTACGCTGCATAGGCTAACTTTTATACTATTTTGGGAAATACAGTTAGTGTTTAAAACTGTGAAATTTATTAATTAACAAATTACATCTTCCAGGAAGCATACCCGATTAAATTGAAAGAAGTCCACGTAGTAAACACAACAACTTTGGTTGAGACGGTCTATAATATCATCAAACCCTTCCTCAAGGAGAAAATGAGGCAAAGAGTAAGTACCCTTGTTATGTTATCGCTCAAACTGCTGAACATAAGCTTCCAATAATGATTTCCAGACATACATTACATTAATCTTTCCAAAGGTACTATATTCCCATACAAGGAATATCTCCTAAATTGTTTTTATAATTGCAAGTAGAAAGAACTTTTTTAACATCAGTTCGGTTTTCCCTACTTTTGTAAGAGTACGGTAGTAACTTAGAACATAATAATTAGTTAACAGTCATATTTCATTGTTATTAGCAAATTTGGGTAAATTTGCTAATGACACAAAAATATTATCTATACTATCAATATCTTTATCTTTAAATCCATAAACGAAAGATTCTATGCTTATGATTATTTTATGTGCTAAATAATTGAAATATTTTGATATGGGGGAAACACTAATATTATTGTTCCTTGCGTGAATGAAAATAACGTTTAGCCTACAACCTTAACTTATTATATTCTATTACATCTTCCAGATTCACTTCCACAGCAGTTACACAGCTCTTCACGAGTACGTACCTAAGGAATTACTGCCAACTGAATACGGCGGCACCGGTAGCCCTCTTGAGGAAATCAACAGTACGTACAACTTTAAAACTTTAATTACATTATATTTCAAAACGCATGTAATTGAGACTAGCTTCCGCCCGCAGCTTCATCCGCGTAGTACGTTGATAAAAAGTAGCCTATATCCTATTCTAGAGTGTATCCAAAGCCTGTACCAAATTTCATCCAGATCCGTCTAGCCGTTTTGGCGTGATTAAGTACATCATCCAAACATCGTAACTTTCGCATTTATAATATTAGTAAGATTGTAAGAGCAATACAGTTTTCTGTGAAATTACTATGGTGTACCACAAGGCGCTGTTATAGGACCACACAAGATTTTCTTTGTATTTTAAAAGAATGAACGTTAAATTATGAACTCATATATTTCATTATAATTTCAGATGCTTGGATAAAAAAACTGGAAGAATACAAAGATTGGTTCAAGGCTCAAGAAAGTCTCAAAGCTAACGAGGCCCTACGACCTGGAAAACCAACTAATTATGATGAACTCTTTGGCATCGATGGATCCTTCAGACAGCTTGCTATAGATTAAAGCACTGTTACAAACCTAGATTAGTTACTATGTATGTAAGGCCTCGTAAAATCATAGGCTAGTTTCATACCTGAGATAAAACTGCAATCCATCCGACCAATAAGATTGTTTGAGATGAAAACTCTTTGCTAAATACCTACTATACCTAGTTATTAATGCAAATTGACTGAGTAATTACATTTAGTACTCTAACTAATTTGAATGTTGAGATTCTATATATTAATCTGTAACTTATCAATAGGGTCAGTTTATAATTTACCTAAAGCGTTTAGTTCGATCAATATTATTAGATGAGTTTGAATGAATACAACATATGCTAAGTGTACCAATACATAAGTCCTACAGACACTTTTTATAATTAAGCAGATTTAATATTAATTTCCGGCGAAGATCAAATAAAAATCTGAAATACTACTTTCGTCCTGTATTATGACTAACATTTTGATTTAAGAATAGGTTTTGCTTTTCATATAAAGCATTCAATATGTGTAATAATGACTAGTTCCTTTTTTAAACTATTTACATTGTTATTTTGCTTCTCAATTATAATATAATAACTTAATAAGTAATGTGTTTGCCTGAACGTTATATTAAGATGTAAAAGCTTTTGTTATTTTCCATCAAACTGCTATGGTGTTCCACTAGGCGCTATAATAGGACCAGTCTATATTTTGTAGCTTCAAACTTATTCTTGTTTTTTTTTTTTTTGATAATGATAATAAGAAAAAAAACATAACATGCATTTTTCAAATCAGATTGAATGATTTAAAAATAGAGGCAAAAACTGCTTTCCAGTTACTTTTATTAATATCTTATATTATGACTTATCTTAGGTATATTGTATGAGCATGCGGGATTTTATGGGAAATGCTTCTTGTTATTTTTAAAGAAAACATTGTAATTAGATTTAAGTGTGGTGATTGTCTGTGATAAATTAAATATTTCTGAAAGAAAATTTATTTTATTATCTCGCCATAGATAGGGCAAAAGGGAGTGTCAGACTCTTACTGACTAAAAACCACGACGTTTCTTCTCCTACACCATGCTGAAGCTGCGGTATGTTATTGCGCTTACCCCACAAAGACAAAGGTCTTTACACCTAATCATCAATATAGGATACAAATCAGTATATAATTCAAAATATCATAGCAACAAAATCGCTATTTTTAAAGTCACTAAATGTGTTCTCAGTCCTTATAAAATGTTTTCGAAACAATTTTTTTTCTCAAAAGTCGTTAAAGGAATCGTTACTTATCCCTGAGTACGAGAATTCCACAAAACAACAAGTATTAATATCTTAAACCCGGATATCCTTTGTAGTAAACCTATATGTATTGTATAACACACTGTATGATAAAAAGATAGCCGATAACCGTTTGAGCCACAGACACTTCGAACCAAGTCTGGTTGAAGTACAAATACAATACTATTTGTACAATGATGAAAACATGGAGTTTAGAAACAATATTAACTTGTACATTTTAGTGACAAACGTTTAGGTATGATGGCTAAAACTTATGTATAGGATTTACAGACACTACTTAGACTTTAAAAGAGACTGGCTTCTGAGTTTTTTCGCCATTTCTTTTCAGAGTAGTCAGACAGAAAATGCCGGTTGAATTTAGTTTTTTTTATAAAAATGTTGCTGTTGTGTAAAAGTGCTATGCATGTAGTCTCATATATTGTCAGCCGAGTAGAAGTAGTTTAAGACTATTTTTAAGTTAGTCATCAAATGATTCATTTTCCCCTGGAGCGAGAGTGATTTTAAATTGATACTGGCTAATATTCAGCCCATTCCAACTTAGGAGTCGGAATGGGCTGAATATTGAAGTTAGACCAAAAACTGATCTCAATAGAGAATCTCTGGATTAAGTACGGTATTCATTGTTTCATTGTTACAAAAACAATGAAACAATGAATTTATTTTTGCAAATAGGCCATAAAACGGCACTTTTACACGTCCATTTACATGTGAAAAACTAGATGAAGCCGTATAATATAAATTTATGTAGTTTCTGCCAATAACTTAGATCCGAAACCGAAATTTTTGTTATTAATATTTGACAAAGACCGGACAGCAGCGGTGCCTTATAACCCCATCTGCTTAAGTGAAGATCTTGCACAACCTTCTTATGCAAGATATGCATCAAGTCCAACAGTGAACTTATGCAGAATGACGACGTTGATTATGATGTTTTTGCAATACGACACCGTCACTATTAGCTGTGTTGCTGTTTATTTATTTAATATGCAAGTATTTCGAACTAACTTCTACCAGCCTGTTCGCGTTCCACTGACGAAAAGAGGCCTTTGTGTTATTCTAGACTATAATCTATCTCTGTGCCAATCTTCATCAAAATTAATTCAATTGTTTTATCGTGGACAAACATTCAAGTATAGATTATACTGATAAACTTTCACGTTTGAAGAATATTAGAAGGATAACCGCTTGCGTCCAAAACAGACTTATGTAACCACAAAGGTTAAAACGTGGCTAAACAGTTTAGCACCAAACAACAAGGGCTAAACAATTATAGAACAATTGTTTATATATATGATACATAAGAACACATTACGTATGTACTTGAACTATGTTTCCTTATGCGACTTAGATATAAGGTTGTGATTCCATTAGCAGGCAGAGTCGGAATATGCAACAGTTGGACTTACCAATTTACTGGAGACGCCTATCATAGTCGTAATTTTATTTATTTATTATTTCTTCTTCACAAAAAACAGTCTAAATGGCGGACTTAATGCCTTATGGCATTCTCTAACAGTCAACCATATAGGTGCGGAGAATTTTTGCGGTTGGTGCGAAGCTAGGACACAGACCTAGAACAAGTGAGAGGAGAAAGAAAATGGAAGAAACACGGTTCTTAACACATAAATAAATAATATAATAATCTGTTGTCTAATTAGATTTTATTAACTCATTGAGCACGAATCTAAGCGAGCTACGCTATTTTTGACGTTTCAAAAGTACCTATTTATGGTTTAGTTGGAATAAATGATTTTGACTTTAACTTTGACTACAATGGTTGACACGAAATAAAGGCTGTACAGGGTGCCATTTTGAACGAGGGATATATTGAAGGAGCCCATTTTGGTGCTCAATTACAATAACTTTTTCCATGGGACCAATATCGAAATCACAAACATAACGGTATTTCCTAATTCAAATCGTTGATTGATCATTTTGCATGAAGAAGTAATTTTTTTTGCGATTTCCATATTTTGTCTTACGGGAAAAGTTGTTTTATGTGCACCAGTATCGTATCGGGTCCTTGAACGTGTCCATTATTCAAATGCTACCCTGTGTTTTCTAACCAGGTTTAAATATCGCACGGATTTTCCCATCCTCAATCCTCCAAGTCCCTTATCTACAAACATATTATTATCTAACCTCCATAAGGCTGGCCAAGTACATGTCAAGTACTCTTCGATGTTACAGGTGTCCATGAACGGCACCGATTGCTTACCATCAGGTAAGCCACAATCTCGAATACCAACCGATCCTATAAAACAAATCCAAACTAATATTATAAATTCGAAAGTAGCTCTGTCTGTCTGTCTGTCTTTTCTTCACGCCTAAACTACTGACCGATTTCTGTGAAATTTGGTACAGACATAGTTTGGAACTCGAGAAAGGATATAGGATAGTTTTTATACCAAAAATCTGCAGGAAGTAATTATTCCACACGAACGCAGTCGCGAGCAAAAGCTAGTCGAAAAATATTTTCTTAACTGATTCAGTCTGTATAAAAACCGCTCCCGCTTATTCTCCGCTAACATGTAACCCCAGTACAAGTGTGACATGAATGTATAATGTTATCAATATATCTACGCATCTCTGTCCGTACGTGACTAACGTTTTGAAGTACATACTTAAGTACCTATAACATAATAAAACATCTTTTGTATCAAATGTGCTTCAAGTGAAAAATTTTAAACAATTGGTTTTGTATATCAGCAGTTCTTTTGAGACTTTGTTTTTATAAAGATAATGGGTTACTTGGTAAGTAGCTTTTTTCTCAAGGTGAGGAAATTATTGAGTGACTTTTCCTGGCCTGGGTGGGGTGAGAGGCACAGCACGATTCTCTCATTGTCTATCCCATTCCTTCTCTTATTCCGAATCGGGCCGCGATTCACCAGAGTGCTTGCACCTGTGACCTCGGCTGGAAATTGGCCCTTACATGCCTCATTTGGCTTCGATAGCTCTTTGAGCCTTACACTCGGGTCTAGTACTGATCGGGCGGCTTCCTTAGCATGCTCGCTATCCGCAGATCAGCGAAGACTGTTTTTGTGTGAAAATACAAAATAAAACCAATAATGACTTACCTAAGTAACTGACAACTACCTGAGTATCAAAACTTAACTCACGAAACCCCACGCGAACACCGGCGAATTACCACAATCGAAAGATTAAAACATATGAAACCCTTTTCTAACTTTTTCAACTTTACCCCTACAACTTTTAGACTAACGCAGCATTTTAAGTAATAAGTTATATAGGTATATTACACAAAAACTCTCAACTGACAAGTTCATTTTACACCGCAAATAATTGATGTCTCTGTCTAATAATAACTCCTTGTGCTGCTGAGTCCTTCATAGGTTTTTGCCCTTTCGAGGCCCTTAGCATTACGTTAACCCCTTCGAATCCAGTTCGTGTAATTGCATATCTTCGTAGAACCAGTCCAGGATAAAAAATAGCAAGCTATATAGTAAAGAGTTTTAGGTGCCTATATAACGCAAAAAAAATCATAAACATTATAGAAGCTGTTTTGTTATTTGTATGAATGTTTGTTAGTTCTTTACGTAAAAAGTACTGAACTGTAATCAGTTCAGTACTTTTTACATGAATGAATGAAATTTTACACAGAGATTATAAATATTCCAGAATATCAGTACTAATATTATAAAGAGGTAATTTTTGTAAGTTTGTATGTTTGTATGTGTTCTCAGTATCCACATTGATACCTATCATTAAATAAAGTTTCAGATATTTCACAGTACTTCACCCAGTAGGGGTAATCTTTGGAACCGCTGGTCGGATTCTTCTGCTTCCCATGCATGAGGGTGCGTGTTCAAAACCTGGCAAGTATCAATGTGACTTTCTCCGAGTTATATGCATTTATAGAAAGTCAAACCGCTACTTCTATAATATTTGGATTACTACTCAGAAGCATTGACCGTTATCCAATAATATGGTTATTCAATTGACACATTTGTAAGAATAAATTAATTTAAACAAGGTTAAAGTTTCGATATCATGATCATTCGATATATATAGTTAACCTCACATTCGAATTCTAATATAAGTTTAAATAATACAGTAGCTTAAATAGAAGGCAGGTTACAATAAGTATTTTTTTATTTGTGTCAGGGGAAAATCATCCAATGACTTCTCCCGCCCAGGGTAAGGCGAGAGAGAGTGTCAGACTCTTACTGACTAAAAACCCCCCGTTCCTTCTCCTGCTCTGCGCCGAGGTCGCGGTGCCTCATTGCGCTTACCCCGCAACCCCAGCTGAACATCAGCCTTATTGGGCCCCGTCTATTGTGGTCTATTGGCTCTTTGAAGCCCGCGTGGAACGCTACGGGTGTGGTTCTGGTCGGGCGGCAAGCTGCCCTTACTCGCCGTCCGCAGACCCGTGCTTACGGTGGCCAGAGATCATCTCTCGAATAAATATATACCTACCATGCGTATGTGAAATTTTATGTTTGTAACCGCAACCAAGACACAGGAGAAAATAATAGTGTGGGGCAACGTTTTTTTTTTATAATATCAAAAACTGAAAGTAATACAGTTTTTGATATTATAAAAAAAAAACGTTGCCCCACACTATGATTTTCTCCTGTGTATACGCTTCATATTAATTCTTAGCCAAAACGAGTTCAGTCTAGGTGTGGAGATAGTAGATAGATAATATAAGACAAGTCCGTCAGAACCTTACAAAACCACTGCAATTCTTGCTGGCTAGTACTTACAGATAATTATTAAACAAATTTGAAACATGAAAACAATACCTTAGAACGCGTTGGCGACGTGCAGCGTCGCCAACGCGTTCTAAGGTTCTAAAATCATACAATTAAAAGAAAATAAAACAATTTTCATGTAAGTAATAAGTTAGTGTTGATATTATCTTATTAATTCCCTTTAAAATAAATATTATAATAATGAAGGTAGTAAACTTTTAATAATAATCGAACAATGCGTTTTACCCGTGTTTACGGAACTTTCAATTTTGTAGGACTTTTGAAAACACACGGTTCATCAATCGTTTTGTTGAATAAGTATGGTTCTTTTTTTAATTATTAATTTCATGACAAAAACGCTACAAAGTTTCAGGTTTAGTCAGACTTAGAAACAAAACAAGCCGAAATGCTATCTCGGAAACAGAATTTAGGTATATTTTAGAACAATCTGAAATCTGAAAAAAATATTCTCCAGAATTAAGATTATTATCTCGTCATCTGACATCAAAATCAAAATCAGATGCAATAGGTACTCCACCAAAAAAATCAAGACACAAATGATTTGACAACTGTACCTAACTACCTAAATACGACAAATAATAAAACCTACATCTTTTGAATCCTTACTTTCCACTATACTACAATCAATGATGTATTGCACCTTATTAACATTGACATAAATACCTACCAATTGGTCACTAGAACATAATCATAATCATAATTCTTTATTGCATCCACAATGTAAGATAAGATGGTAATAATATGTATAGTAACAATCATGGACCCTGATGGGCACAGCAAATAGTAACAGCAAATAGTAATAGTAACATAATTTGAAGGTGAGAATTTCTATACTACTTAAATCAATTGTAACACAAAACAGAAATGAATCAATATTTTCATCTCACGACAGTTCAATTATCTGCCCGTGTATGTGCTCATTGAATGCATTTCTCAACCACACACGAAGAGAGGTTGGTTTGTGTCAGTAGTCGCCCAGCCTTGTTCTCCGGCTGACGCGACATACCTTTGCCTTAAAAAAAAAGTTGCGAAACCATAGTGATCTCTGTGCCTGTGTGGAACTGACATGTGAGTTTTAAATATTTGTATTTTTTAAAAAGGGAACGTGTTCTTATTGTTGTTTAGTAACCTCTTTTGTATTTCGTTCTTATTTTAAAATGTGAAAGCTTTTTCGTTTGGCTATTGCAAGTTTCTTTCGGTTTTTAATTGAAATAACTGACAGCGCCGTGTAGTTTTGTGATTGGTTTGATTTTGTAATTTTAAGTTTTGATTGAAATATCATTGCCAACTGCATTTTTGTTCTTAGTTGAAGTCTACCTACCCACTTCATTTATTTGAATTGGGCCAATGCGGTTATAAAAAAAATATTTTGGAATTTGGAATATATCTTTGATTTATTTTTAAATAACAACAAAAAACAATTTTGAAGCTAATACTTTTGTATAATTAGTTATGCTATTTTGGACTGTGTGTTCTGATCTACAAAGCAGTTATTTATTGTTTAATAATTTATTTAGGGTTGATTTTTCAATAGTCAGATAAAAGTTATCTGAAGAATAAAATTGTTGCTGTCACTGTCTTCTACAAACATTCTGACGTGACAGCATCATAATTATTCCCCAGGTAACTTTTATCTAACCATTGAAAAATCAGCCCTAAATATCTTCTTTAATACCGATAACCATTTTTAAACAGTTACCTGAGATTGCATTTACCAATGAAACTCTTAAAACACTTTTGTAATTGAAAACTGTCTGGCCCACTTTCTTCCGCATTTGTCTTCGTATCTTCATACTTCTTAAACATTGCATTGAAGCTAAAACGTTTTTTTAAATGCGTATCAACTCCGTAGATAATTTCCAAAGGAGGATATTTTAAAACTGTTTCTAACACTGGATGCGTAGTTATCTTCATAATTTTAAGAGCTTGTTTCTCCACCTTTATACACATGCCAATAAGTTTATATACCTATATTTTTATTATTATTTATTTATGTGAAATTAACACATTCTAACAGGTTTATACTCAATGCAATGGTCTTGTTACACACTGCAGTAAAATTATTAATAAGTTATATTGATACACACACCCGTGTTAATATGATCACACATCAATCTAAAGAACTAGAGGAGTCATTTCAAAAACAAACAAGTTTATTAAAAATATCGAGTTTACTCTTAATCTTTCTAAATTCTGTTTGGTCTATTGGTGCCAGCGAACTAATGTACCGCGGCGCCAGATCAGATTAAAAGAATCAACAGGATGGAATTTAGTTAGTAAGTCTGACACTCCCTCCCGCCTCACTCCTTGGTGAGAGAAGTCATTTGATGATTTTTACCTCACAAAAAAAATTTACTGGTGCACGCGGAATAGTGTACGGTGGCCTCGGAATAGGAAAGGAAAAGGGGTGGGTTTTAGTCAGTAAGAGTCTGACTTACCCAGGGCGGGAGAAGGCAATGGAAGATTTTCCCAATCTATACTTTTATATAATAAAGCTGAAGATTTCGTTTGTTTAAACGCGCTAATCTCCGGAACTACTGATTCGAGTTGAACAATTCCATTTGTGTTTCTTAGCACATTTATCGAGGAAGGGAGGTTATAAATATCGCACAATGATTTTTTGGAGCTGAGCAGCGGGTGAAAGTGCTTGAGAGTAGCTAGTCAAAAATAAATTTCACTAAAATACGATCCGGATCCTTCGGAGAATATTCAATTTCCTTACAAAATCATTTAATTCGTTAAACCCCAAGTGAGCGCCGGCGTTCGCAAACCTCTTGTTGTTCTATTGTGTCTCGAATCACCATGACTAAAAGGTTAAATTCAAATTATATAATGTTTTTTGTTGCTATGTTTTTCAAAGTCCCAGTAGCTATTCAAACATCTATCATGTTACCAACTTCTACGGCTGCACAGAAGGTCAAGGCTGCTGGTTAGTTCAAACCAAAAGTTATTGCACTTCATTCCCCCTACATAGATTGGAAAGGTCAAATATCATCAACAATTAAAAATAACTATTATGTTCCTATAAATAAATTGAACTAATGACTGACCTCGTTTTTATTACAATAAAAATGTTATAAATGTTAAAATGAAAATTTGTTTGTTTTGGTTGCTAGGGTTTACAATTTTGACATCATTTCTTGCTTGGGTCAAAATCATCGGGACAAAATATCATTCATTTTCTTTCTACACAATTATGTTCGATGATTAAATAATTTCAAATTCATCAAAAGTCTCATCTTGATTAGTCATAAGCGTAACTATGGAGTATTCAGCTCGTTCTTTATCATAGGAATTTACAGTTTGGATATAAAAAATAGATAGTAGGGGACTGACTAGGTGATTGCTGGCTGTCAATGCATGAATGACTCGACTCGATCGGAGTGATACAGAAGAATGACGCAAAACAATCACAGCGTTTTGTTTCTCGTGTGAGTGAGGTTAACCTAATCCCCAAAAGGTCGGTAACGTACTCGTAACTCCTCCACCTTGCTTAACATCAGATAATCCATTTGGTCGTTTGTCGACCTACTAAATAAAAAACCTTCGCTCGCTTGGCCTAAATATGGCCTTCCATGGCGTCCAGATCGTTAACAATCGTAAAATCGGATAATATTTTTTCCTTTATTCAAAGCAGAATACACAACAGCCCACAAAGACTCGGTTTTGTTCTCCTAAACACAAAATACGAAGAACGTATACAAAGGTCAAAGTATAAGATTAACACCTTCTGCTATTGGTTGCCATCCTAACTTATATTACAAATATGAAAACGGTTTCATTGTCTGTCTGTCACGTTTTAACACCTAAACTGCTAAGTTGATTATGATGAGTTTTGAGATAGGGCATGACTGTTTATATATTTACGTCACTGACAACGATTAGTAGAAAACCCTAGATAAAAAAAAAATGTTGTTACATAACCTGTAACATGACAAGTAAATTAAGATCTGTTTATTATTTTAAACGTTGCTTATAATATATTTAACAAGTCTTAATAAAATTTCTAATTATAAGTTGAAAATCGTCAAACCATCTTCAGCCTGGCGCGATGATTGACGATAGCCTTATCCGTGTGCGAAGAGGTCTTTGCTGATGGTGTGTGATGATGTTGTACAATACAAACAGAAACATATCCATTTGTATCGAGACATGGGTGCATTATCAAACAAAAAACAGATATTATTCTATAATACCCAGACACTCTTTACACCTCGACTCTTAATAAAAACTCGTGGAAAACATAAACTCGTTACTTTATTCTTCTCCTCAAATAATATCTTCAGATTTAATTCGTTGCGGGATCCAACACAGTCATTTATGTCTCAGGAACGCGCCTTCAGTGTTTCGGTGTTTTCAAGGTTCATTTTTTTTTTATATAAAAAAATCGTTGCCCTAAAAAACACTAGGATTTTTTGCGGTTACAAACATACAACGGAACAACAATTTGTGGATCACACAAAGAGTTGTTCCATCGATCCCGCGACACGTTGCACGACAGCCAGTTGGCGAGCCACCGCACCAACCGTGCAGTCAGACCATATGTACTGTAGACCCTGGCTTACAGGATTTGCAGCGGTTTTGTGAGGTTGTGGCGGCCTCCAATATAGTTCTGTAGTCGTGTTATTCTAAGAGCGCTTCGAAAAATCGTAATCAGATCCGAAGGATGAGGCGTAAACGCATTAAATCCTTCACCCCATTTCTTTAAGGGTTATCAGAATTCTGTCCTTGTTTTCTACACCTTTTAGTGTGGGAGAGCCAAGCTTAGGAACAAATGGGTCGGCTTGACCGGGGTGATACCACGACCTCACAGAAAACCGACATGAAACAACTACAGCGTTGTGTTTCGCCGTGTGAGTGAAGTTACCGGAGGCCCAATCCTTCCCCTCCCCCGATCCCTCCCAATACCTAAATCTCCAGCACTTTAATTCCTAAAAGGTCGGCAACGCGCTCGTAACTTCTCCGTTACGGGTGTCCATGGGCGGCGCTAATTACTTACCATCAAGTAATCCGGATGCAAATTTGCCGACCTATTCCATAAAAAACCTATACATATTTATCGCATCGGGTGTAAAACGACTAAAAACCAGTCTGTCCCAGCTCGGAGCTGGACCGCGGTATATTATTGAGGTTAATCTGATACTCTGTTTCCTTTTTTTTAGTGGCATAATTATGAAATCTCTTCTCCAACCCAAGCTAGAGAAGACTTTCAGACTCTTAATGACAATAAAAACACATCGCTAGGGCCAAGGTACATTCTTGCACTTTTTAAAGTACTTATAATAAACAAGTGTTTATGACAGACGGATTTTACAACAATATAATTAACTATAATTGAGTCATAGTCAGCACGTGATGACGTCATAACAATATATTGATATAAATGACACGTTTATTTAAATGCTTGTGCGCATGTCAACCATTTATATTTTAGAACAATTGTATCTACATAAATATAAAATAGAATACCATAATCTCTGTTGCATATGTTATAAGGTCCATTTTAAAGTGTCTCAGAATATATTTATTAATGAGTCATAGAATTAATTTTGTTAAAAAAAACGTAGACATAACATCACGAATTTTAGTTCTTCGAAGGGAAAGGGAGAGGTCACGTGTTCGTTTAAACAATATAAACCAATAATAGTAAGTCATAAACGTCTTTTGTAGAGGAAGCTTATTTTTTATGACGAAACTAAATATCCCGCCCGTGTGAGTGAGGTTACCGGAGGCCCAATCCTTTCCCTTCCCCAATAGGGATTTGGAGATTTAGGGACTGAGGAGGGCCTCAGTCCCTAAATCTCCAAATCCCTACTTAATCCCTAAAAGGTCGGCAACGCACTCGTAACTCCTCCGTTGCGAGTGTCCATGGGCGGCGCTGATTGCTTACCATCAGGTAATCCGTCTGCTCGTTTGCCGACCTATTACATAAAAAAAAAAATTGGCTTGACTGGAGTGATACCACGGCCTCACAAAACACCAACGTGAAGCAAAACTCGCATTATGTTTCGCGCTATAAGTAAGGCTACCAGAGGCTCAGTGATACCCTCCTTTGTCCCCAAATTCCA